CCTACCTATGATCATGTTCGTGTAGTTGTTGGTATGGTCGAGCGCATCAACGATTACTACCACCGCCACTATTACTACTACCTGCTCTCTTGTCGGGCGGTATCTTGTTGCTCTGTTCGCTCTCTCTTATCGTACATTGACTTGGAAAATACCCGATAAACGGGAAAAAGAAAGGAATATAGAAGCTTTCCCGTGTACCTATTGACTGTTGGGTGAGAAGTAAAGGAGAAAGAGAAGCATAGAGCAGTGGTGACCGCAAAGCACTTTCCAGCTGCAAAAATAAAAGATGCATTCCCCATCGAAATTGAACGACTTCTTTCGAATCGTGGATGATTTTTTCAAAAAGACATTCAGAGATGAATCTGAGGTATTTGTTGCGGTGAAGTCCAGGCAGTACTCCGAGTCTTTCCCGGGGAAACAGCTTTTTTTCGCCGCTCCTCCGCCAGCGGCAGACACGAACGCCGCTGCTGCTGCTGCTGCCGCGAGCAGAAAGACGCCGAACTACATGTCCTTTTCACCCCGCCTGGTGCTCAATAGGGACGGCACTGGCTTCGGGAAGGTGAAGCTCGGCTGTGGGCTCTGCATCCCGCGTGTGTGCCGCTTCGAACAGGGCCTCACACTGAACAATGAGGGTGTTGTGTCAACCAACGTGAAGCTCAGCGAACTCCTAGAGGGGCTTCAGCTGAAGGGTCGCATCTCCGTCAATACTATCGCTCCCGCGTCAGAGGACGTGTCAGCGGCAACCATAGATTATGAGCGTCGTGACTTCTACACATCTGTTGGCTATCAACGTAACGGACTTGGGAGTAGCGACCTCCTTGTGGATTGTGGAACAAAATTCTTTAATCTCCTCGCCGGTGCAGGATTTGAGAGGCAGAAATTATCGTACCTTGAACAACAGGATGCTTCAGCGCAGTTGGACGTGTTGTACGCAGGTTTGGGTTTCACTGGAGTGAATTGGTCCATTGGAGCCAAGATGGTGCGGGCGAACGATGCCTGGAGCAACGCCCGGGTGGCGTTCTATCAGCGGATGGCTCCCAACACCTCTGTGGCATGTGGATACAACTACGACCTGTCTGAGTCCCGGGCACATTTGTCCTTGGGTTTCTCTCAAGGATTCCGTCTTCGCGTACCAACCATCCTCCAGCAGCGAGTAGAGGAGCAGGTGGATACGTGGACAGCTACCCTACCTTTTGTCGGAGCCTTCAAAGCGGAGAGCGATGGCGTGTGCGCTGCGACCATTCGAGGCATCTTTAACGGCGTGGTGCACTGGGGTTTAATTGCCCGGAAAAACATGCTGCTCGCCGCGAGTCCTCCGCAGTTCGGTGTTACCATCTCGATGGAGACAGACTGAAACGCGTAGATTGTGATCATCGCGAGGCTGTCGTCCACCGTAGACACACATGTGTCCCCTGTCTGTGTGTGTGTGTGTGTGTGGCATCGTTCTCTTAGCACCGCATAGAGTTTTCCCGTGTCACTGCATCTTACTCGATACAGCAAGTCTCGTATGGCTGGATGCGTTTAACGGGGGCTAAAAACAAGAACAAAAGACAGTGGAAGCGAGGCAAGGAAGATCGGTTCCACATGCGCTTCTCTAGCTGCTCCATTCTGACACGTACTGGACCTCAGCCTCAGTCGTCTCCTTCAATCATTTTCTTCTGTTTTACAGTGTGGAAAAGAAAGAGAGAAAAAAGAGGTGATCGTGTTTGGTGCAAAGCAATAACGTCAGTAGACATGGTAATGAATGCCGTTACGAGGAGACTGACGGTGTTGTGCTCGAGCCGCCCACTTGCGGCAACTCTCATCATATCACTTTTCGGCATTCTGGTAAATCTCCTCTTTGTATACCTGCTGCGCTACTTCCGCCCCACCGACCGGAGCAGACATCACAGGCATACACACAGCAGCTCTAGAAAAGAGCACAAAAAGGGGAGGAGCGGAGAGTCTAGGAAGTCCGTACCCAACGTGCTCCTTCTACTCGGCATCCCTGGAAGTGGGAAGACAACATGGGCCGAGCAATACCTCGAGCGGTGTGACCACTCGTACGCCATCGTCAGCGTGGACGAGACGCGAATGAGTCTCACCGGTAGGGCTGATGACATCTCTAAAGAAGAGGAGGTGTGTGAGGCTATGATTCGTGAGGTGGTTGATCACATTAAGAATCGGCAAAACATTATCGTTGATGGCGGTGTGCACGCCATGGACGAAGCGTTCCGCCGCCGTCTCATGGATGCGGCGTCATCATGCAATAGGATGGTAAAGGACTTCCCCATTAAGGCGCTCTTCGCGCGCGCACGCCTGTCAAAGGATGCGGAGGAAGGCAAGGTTCGGTACTACCCTTCCGAAATAGAACTGGACGAGCTGGAAGTGATTTTCAACAAGGCACAGGCGCGCATTAAGGAGGAGGGATGGAAGCCGCTCCTGGAGTCTGCACATTCGCGCTCAAGGAGGGCATGATACCACGTATTTTTTGCGCAGTTCCATGGCACTTGTATGTGTTGCCTCTTATTTGGGGGAAGAGGCGGATAACCTAATTGTGGATTGCGCTTTACGAGGGTTGGGGTACACATGCGTCCCTAAATGATTCCGGTCGAAACGAGAGGAAGCAAAAAAGATGTCTCATGGAATTCTCTCTACCACTGTTGTTATTGGCTTTTTTGTACTGATGATGATAATGATGATGAAGATGAGGATGGGGTGCAGTTTCACTCCGCTCTTCCTCATTAACCCTCTTAAACTCTTTTTTCTTTTTAATGTTGCCGTCGCTCGCTCGTCCAAAGATTGATGATCTCACCCTCATTGGTGTGGTCCAGGGCACAGCTCCAGAAACCGCAGCCAGATGAGGATGTTGCGACTCGACTCGCACAGTGGCTTCCAGGATTAATGGTGCATTCCCGGTTGAATGGCGGCAGTCCTTCTTCATCCCCAGCTGAGGAGATGGGTGACCGTGACGGACTGCTCATTCATGCCGCACATCGTCGCTCTCTCTACCTCGGCTGTGCGCGGCATCTCTCACAGTTTTCCGACGCGCACGACTACTACCGTCTGATGATGTGGTGTCACGATCAGGGCATCTTCATTCACCCTGCTGTCTGTGTGCAAAGACGCCCATCGTTGTACCGCGACCACGCTTTCACTGTCTCACAGAACATTGAAAGGTTGACCCCACTGCTAGCCATCCCGGAGTCGCTTATCATTGGGTTTAAGAATCTGAGTGACACGAGTGACTCCGACAACAGTCTGCGGGATGAGAAGCGGGAAAAGGAGTTCAATGAACTGAACTCTGGGGACGGGAGTGACTCCGATGTGTGCCAGTTTTTTTTCGCTTCACTGAGCATGGTTGTGTCTGACCTCGTGACGGCGAAGAGCAGTCCACTGACGGATCCGCGTTGGGCCTTCGCAGAGCTACTTGGAAAGGTGCGAACGCTGAAGAATGCGCCGTACCTCGAGGATGATGTGGTGCTGGACGCGGAGTCCTCGGGTCTGGCCGACGTGCTGTTGCAGATGATTCGCAATTACATCAATGGGGGTCCGCTGGTAGGAAAAGTTGACCGCACAGAACTTCGCTGGGCAGTGAGCGTATGCCTCTCCCACTCCACACCGCTTGCGATTGCAGCGACGAGATCGATTGGAATAATTCCCATGGTACACCTCTTTCCGCATGGTGGGAAGGAAACAAATGCGTTTCTTGTTTCCCGCACAAGCCGCCCGCACTCTGCGGAGAAAATTGCGGCATACTTTAGCACGCATCATGGCTACGACTTTGCGCACGCGAGGGAAGGTAAATGGATTTATGTCGTGCCCTCCCGCCCTCTCCTCGCGGGTGAAGAGATTCACCTGCAGGCCATGGCTCCTGTTTGTGGAAGAGACTCGGAGGCTGAGAAAATGTGGCGACTGTCGTGCGCCGCTGCACCAAAGGAGTATATGACATCGGCTGCCGTTGCGCAGATGCAGCAGCGTCTCACATGTGAGCTCATTGAGAAAGGTGACGATATCCTTTCGGGGAGAATGTCTTAATAACACAACAGTGGTGCCCGCTGTACAAGGATGTGCAATTTGTTTTTGTTGTTGTTGCATGCCACCTTCGTACCGCTTGTGTGTTGTGCTGGTTCACATAAAGGGAACGAAAATTTGTATTTGTTTTTTTTTTCTTTGTTTTTTCCTTCATTGTTCGTGGCAAACATTGTGGTTGGAAAGTCTCTTTATTCCTCTTTGTTATTTCACCTTTACCCGTCTCAATCCTCGCATCTCAGGCCGCCACACTCTTCTTTAGCGACGGCACTGAATGGTTAAGCGGGTACGCAGCACGTCTCCCCCGAAGAAGACACTGAAACGACGAAGGCGCGGCGGTAGACGACGCGGCAAGAAGCGGCGTAGTGAGGTCAACTTGCAGTCGGTTCCACCGTCTTTCCTTTGCCACATATGCACGAAGAACCACTGGACAATTTCCTGTCCTCAGCTGTGGCAGAATCCACAGGACTACCCGCTTATGGATAAGAGAAAAGGCTGCCGTAAGTGCGCCCAGCGCGGCCATCTGTCTTCACAATGTCCCGTGAAAAAGTACCGCTGCGCTGACTGTGGTGGGTTGCACGATACGCGCGACTGTGAGTTTGATCACAAGAGCGAGGAATGGCATGAGTTCTACGACCCTGTCACGCAGCACGTCTACTACGCTCATAGTGAGACACAAGAGGTGCGGTGGACACCCCCGGCACATTGGCTGGATGTGGTGCTGTGGTTTTGCTCGAACTGCAGGGTTCTCATGCCCACCACTCTGCCGGAGTGCGTCAAGTGCCATGCTCCACGAATGGAGTCGAGGGTATCGAATGTCTCATCTCCCTCTTCCTCTTCTTCCTCCGCCACCTCCTCCTCTTCAGGTAATGATGATGAAAGCGACGAAGACGACAGCGACTCATCAGTGGATGGGGAAGATTAAGCTGGGCCGAGTAGGAGAGCAGGACAACAAAGATGTGCCCGACACCTCCCCCCCCTCCCCAGATTTGGTGGGCGCTTCTTTGTCACTCTGTTTCCAGTTCATGTGTGGATCGTGTCGGGCGACGTCTCTCCTTCTGGGTGTGCCTTATTCTCTCCTATCGGAAGATAGACTCGGTATTCGTCGCGTAAAAGGCCTTTACACTCATGGAGTGTGGATCGGTACTGTTTCTGTGTGTTGTGCACTCCTATTTTTTTTTTGTTGTCTGGTACGTGCTCGGTTTAAAATTGGTTTTACTATTATCATGATTACTGCTTTTTTTCCTTTTTTTGTTTTTTATTTTATTTTTGCTGGGCCATGATGGTGTGGCCGCCAAGGGTAAAGGGGGGGAAATGGTGAAGAGTGAGGAGTGCACCAAACCTCTTCAGCGACCCGCTTCAAAAGCGTGGCGACGAAGAAATGCCATGACAGGCTTGTATGCTGTTTGCAGTCAAGACGCGCCACCCCCTTCGGACAACGCCACTCCAGTAAAGGCAATAGACCAGCTGGAGAAGCTTGCTTCGTTGGGTCGCTCGTTGGGTGGTCCGCTTCGTTGCACAGCATGCCGGATTTCCATTCATATGACAGAAAAGACCCTGGTGTATCGCCTGAAGACGTCGTATCGTGTTGAGAACAGTTTGGAGACCCGCTTCGCTCTCATATTCCCTGTGAGTGAGTGCGCCGGCACGGTTCTGTCGCTCTCAGCCCGCATTAATAAGAAAGCCGTTACGGCCGAGTTAGTGCGCGTCGAGGGTGACCCGTCGGAGCTCTCCTCGCTGCGACTGATGCCGGCTCTGCAAACGTCATCGAAGGATGCCACACCAAGCCCAAAGCGTGAAGACTCAGGGGCGATTTACGGCATCACACCTGGAGCCTCGGACGTGATGGAAGGTGGAGTGGCAGAGGTGGGAGCGGAGGTGCTCGTAGAAATTCGATGGGCTACGAAACAGCTGACAAGTAGTGAACCGCACGCGCTACAAGTTGTGTATCCGTTTGTCTGCGCGCCTCGATTGCCGGACGAGGTGGTGTGCCGTACCGTGTTTTCCTCGCGTATTGCGGTAGTGCGCAGCCCGAATTGCCGCGGCAGTGGGCAGTTGCTGAACTGGAGGGCGCGTGGGGGGCGCTGCAAGGTTTGGCTCACCCCTGCAAATGCTGCGATGACGTTGCGTCGAGAAGACGGCGTTTTTCTCCTTACATTTTACTTTCAAGACCCCTTTGGCCTTGAACACCAGTGTGGTGCCTTTGGACCAGTGTGTGTCGTAGTGTTTGTTGGCATTATTCTATGGTTGCTGCTAACGAAAGATCTACAGTCATGACTGGAGCAGAAAGAGTTGGAATGGGGGTATTTGACAACGTTGATTCAGAGTGAAGAGAAGTGTTGCTGTATACCCATGTTTTGTCAGTGATGGGACTTTTTTTTTAGTTCTTTTGTGTGCGGGTGGTGTGCTTTCTCCCTATTCTCTTTCCTGCTGCGGGGTTTTTGTTGTTGATGTTGTCGTAGGTTGGGGTTCTTTTATGTTCATACCCGCGTGAAAGACCCATGGAAATGGAGCAATCGACCGGCGATACGCCGTTCTACTCCGATTTTGGTCAATTCAAAGAGGGATACAACCGTGAGGAGGCGGAGGCGGGCATCAACGATGCCTTCCACAAGCGGCAGCTGCTACGACAGGAACTTTATTTGAAGGAGCTGATGCTTGGCAGTGGGCTCGGTCATGCCGCAGAGCGAACAGTTCACGGCAGATTATATCAACCGCAGGCGGCGCTGCAAACAACGACTGACGTTGCTGCAACCACAGTGGCGGCGGAGAGAGGCGACGTGGAAAGTGCCGCAAACGCATGCGCCACCCAGTCCGACATGGCACTCCTTGACACTTCCCCGTCAAGCGTCATGAAGCAGTTTACCAAGGTGGAAGTGGAGGTGCAGAGTTTAAAAGAGGTTCACCAGCAGTTGGATGATAATATGCGCATAGCTGAGGACAGTATTGCACAGGGTTGCAAACCCCATACCTTTGATGCTGTGTTGGAGTCTCTTTCCATCGTCCTTACGATTTTAGAGGAGGGTGACGCGCGAACGCAGGTGAGGCTCCCCATGCAGGAGGAAAGCGCGGTGCCACTTCAAGGTGCAGAGGCTGTCATGAGATACGCACAACAGTATATCACCCCGCTGGCGCTGACGCTGGTGAACACCTTGTACGCAACAGAGTGGATGCTGCAGTACACCATGACATTCATCAACTCCCTCGTAGCGAAGGACGAGGAGGAGGCACAGTTGCGGATGGAACTTCTTGCGCGGTGTGTGCGGTGGTTGGGGAAGATTGATCAATTCGTTGCTTTTGCTTTTGCATTTGAACTGAAGTGGCAGGCGTACGAGACCTTCTCGACGCTGCGGGACTCGGCTGAGCGTTTCATTGGAGGTCTCATCCGCAGTGTGGAGAAGGATATGGCAAATGTACTTCTCGTTTCATTTCCAAAACGGCGCAAACAATTGTTGTTGTTGGAAGCAGGTATTAGAGAGCGTCTTCAGCGGATTATTTCGTTCCTTCACCAAATTGAGACTGAGTGGATGCCAGATATGAAAGTGCAGATGGATTGGAAGGACGAGTTTCTCTCTCAGATTATGGAGAAGATACACACTGTCATCGCCCCGGCGTTCCTCTCCGCGTCATTGGGTTTTATTGATGATTCTCTGTACAAACTTGTGGCGGGAAAGAGTCGACTGGGTTTCCGCAGTGCCAACAGCTCAATTCGAAGCGGCGGCAGTCGCCGCTCCCTGCCGCCGCGAGCGTTGCCGAATGTTTCAGTAGCCACACAAGTCGAAGACGGTCGTGTCGAGGAGAAGCTGAGCTTCCAGCAGATTGGCATGACGGTGAAGAGGTCGGCGAGTCTTGTGGTGGGGCTGCAGCTGTGCATGGGAGCCCGCTACGTGCTGCAGCAGTGTGGCGTGGAGCATGACGAGCGGTGGGGTTTTTCTTTGGGCGAGTCGCCGGACGCCCCAAATGCTATTCGCGATGCGGCGGAAGATGTAGTACGCTTAAGGGAATCCATTCAGCAGCGCGTGCGGGAGCGCACGGAGCAGCAGGCGGAGGCGCTACGTGTATTCTTTCTGACGTGATGCCCATCACACCTCATCCCCTCACCTTTTTTTGTAGGTCTGTGTGTGTTTGGGGTGGGGTGGAGGGGAGCAACAGTGGGAATGTATATGAGGAACACGATCGCGAACGGGTGCGTCAATGAATGGAAGAAACAAAGGGAAAGCTGAATAAGCGGCAAGGTATGTCTCTCTTTCTCTCACTGCTTGGGAAATATGGCCTTTTTCACTTCCGTAACTCATGTCGTATTTTTCTTTTTTTGGGTGATTATGTCTCTTGTCCTTTCAACCCCTCTCTCCTTATCTCTCTCTCTCTCTCTCGTTCGGTTCATTTCTCTTTCTCAACCAGGTGCTCGCTGTTTGCTCGCGCACGTGAAGGACAAATGGTGAATGGCGCTGGTCATAGCGCCAAGTGCGTCTACGTCCTCTCCGACATTGATGGCTTCAAATACAAACTTGTGATGGAGGGGGATGTGCATCTGTTAACAACGACAAAGGTGAAACGATACCTGCAGCACGCCACGGGACTCAGTCCCCAGCACCAGGAGCTTTCCTTCAAGGGCAGGATCATGCAGGACGGCGAGTGTGGTGGTGACATCGGCCTTACAGACGGTGCGATGCTTCGGCTGCAGCACGTGCACGCCTCACAGCGAGCAAGTAGCAGTGCTGGTGCTGGCGGGAGCCGGCCGTCAAGCCGCTCGATGTCCGCGAGCACTGTGAGCCATCAAGGTAAAGCAACAGTAGCGAAGACTTTTGTGCCGATCTCTCCTATGGCAGGGTCATCGACGCCGCTCCAGAGTGGTCGTCACCGTGATGCTCATGGTTTTAATGGCGAACTTGCCGGCCCCCCACGCGCTGATACAAGTTTTTCTAGGCGCGACACACGCACCGAGCGTGAGTATCGAGAATTAGAGTTGGAGAACGCTCGTCTGGAGGAGCGTTTATTAGAGGCGGAGCGGGAACTCGCCAATGCCCGCTCGGATTGGCGTCTGCAAGAAGAGGTTGAACAGCTGAAGTGCACCATTGCACAGTTAGAAAGTGAGAAGGCCGGTGCCGCGCGGGCCGCGGAAGAGAAGTGGCAGGTGAAGCAGGCGGAGCTCGTGAAGGAGCTCGATATCATGCGGGAGGAACGGCGGCGACTGCGCCGCGAACAGGCGTTCTTTGAGCAGGAGCAGCGGGCGCTGGTGCATGCCCTCGAAGGACAGATCCGCACACAGCAGAAGGAGCTCGTGGAGCAAGAGACACGATTGGAGAAGCAACGCGAAGAGTTGCGTTGCGCCAATAAGACCGTTTCTGAAACGGTACAATGCAGCCTTGAGAAGTTATCGCAGGAGCTCAACATATCGCCACTGAAGTTAGACGACAATGACACATGTGTTGTGCCCTTGAGTGATGGTGCAAACATCCTCATCACACTAGACCCCGCCACGGAGCGTATGTTCATGTACGCCACCATCGCGAACACATTGCCTTCGAGCGCGGAGGTCCGGCTGCGTCTGTTTGAGACGTTACTCGAAGGCTCACTGCTGGGTCGCGACATGGCTGGTGGCGGTGTGGGCATATGCACACTCAACAACCTCATCATTATGGATATCTGCGTGGACGTGGCACACGCTGATGAATACGCCTTGGCAAGCGTCGTTCGACCCTTCATGGCGGCTGCTCAGCACTGGATGGAGGTGATAAAGAATCTGACCTCGCAGCAGGCCTGACTGTATCGTTTCCGAGAATCACGAAATGAGCGGCATTACGATTTCGCGCGTCAAATTGCGTGAGCGCAGATTCAACCAGTAGGAGGAGGGTTGCTGTTTTCTTCTTTCCTCATATAAAAAAAGGACTTGTGTTGTTGTTTCTTTTTGCCATCAGTGCTGCACAAGCAGACATGATAATGTCAACATTGGCATTTAAATTGATTGTCTTGTGTTAGAGTTGTTGCTTGGGGAGGTAACCGGGCAATTATCCCGTTGTCAGTGTGACGACTGTGTGCTGCGCCGACTCCCTTCAAACGAATCTGTTCTATTTCATGAGCACCAAATCTGCTTAAATGTCCATCTGGGGCCATCCATGCGTTTACCTATGTGTGTGTGTGTGTGTGTGTGTGTGTGTGTGTATGCGTTTTGTCTTGTTTCGTCTTCTTTTGGAGTAGGGGGGTTCTTTTCCAGAAGAAACTAGTTACATGGAGATTCGCTGTTTCTTGGTGCACTGCAGCGATACTTCCGCGGGACTCCCTTATGTGGAGGTGCCGCCGCCCTCTGCTGACGTGCGTGATACGGTGGCCAAGGTTTTCGGCAGGCATTCGCCGGAATTCTATTGGCGTCTCGGCAACGACCCCCGCTGCTCCCGCCGCATGGTGTCGGTGTCGCTAGAGAATTGTGTTTCTGCGGAAGAGCCGTTGACCAGCCGAGTGCACCCGCATGTTCCGCAACGCCTCGTGCTGAAGTGTCTTGGCAAGAATGCAATAAAGGTTACCCGGTGTGCAGTTGTGGTCAACCCTGGCAACCAGCAAGCACGGCAGGATCGCTTTCTACTGCACCGTAACGAGTCCACGGTGCTTCGGGTTGGTGATTGCATTGGTGTAACAGACCGAGTGTGGATGCAGGTTGTGCTAGCGTGTCTCTGCGTCAATGATGCGGCAAAGGAACCGTTCGTGATGTCGCAGGACAACACGGGCAGAGTTCACCACTCTGGGTGTAAAGTGCTGTGTCCGCAGTCGCCGGAGCTTCCTCCGTATCCATTCGTGCACGTGGACCGGCCATGGCAGAAGCTGCCGTCTTCTGTGCGGGCCTCGCTTGTGCATACCGTGTGGCGGTTCCAACTGTCCGCGGACTCCAACACGGCCGGAACAACGACACCAGCGGGACCAGCCATGGATACCTTGAGCCTCACGTGCACATCAGAAATCACCTTCAATGGGAAGGACGACATGGTAGAGGAGGCAGCAACGGTGACGGTTGCCAGTAATTGTTCACTTGTGTGTGCTAAAGACGGAACGGGTACGTCAAGTAGTGAAACTCGAAGCAAACGACAGCAGCATGTTGCCTCATCCGGAAGCCACGCTGCCGAATCTCAAGCCCTTTCATTAGACGCAGAGCCTCTCCAAAAGAAACAGTGTACTTCTGCCACTAGTCTGACAAACCTGCAGAGTGTGCCCCCTACCGGCTTGGTTGAAAATAATACTTATTGCGACACATATGATGAACGTTTAGATGAAGCACTTTGTGCGCTTGAGGCGCGAGTCGCTGTTGCCGATCGGATCATCACAGCGGAGCCACCGCCGCCGCTGCTGCTGGGTGACAGCCCGACGACAACGAAAGGCCAGTCAGTGGAGCCAGTGCGGTCGGGTCGTTGTGGTCGGTCCGTCGGGGTGAACAGGCCCCTCCAGCAAGTGGGCAATGCGCAGGAGCAGCAGCAACAGCAGCAGTTTGGGCGCCTGGGCGGCGTCATTGCCACTCGTCCCGCAAATGATGAGTCGCAGGTGGTGTACTACCGTCACTAGATAATCATGGTGCTCTAATCACAAATGTGCCCTGCATTTTGTTCTTGTTTCCTTCAGCATCTCAAAATGTTACGTTGCCGGGGGCATTTTACATGGTTGCTCAGCGTGCATCCCTTTTCTTTTTCGCATTACCGCCGTTCGTCGTTGGATATCAACAATGAATGCCCCCTCTCTCTATCTCTCAAATGTTACTTATGTGTGTTTTCACATTGTCGTTTTTGTCAGATTCGCCTCGTTTCCTTTTTGTGTTTTTTTTTTTTCTGTTTTGTTGGGTGCCACTGAAGTTTGTTTTAGTGTCATCCACAACGGTGAGCCTTTGCCGCGGAGCGTCAGGAGTGCGATCCTTAGCGTGGTTAGTGAAGCGGAGCACCAGGTCGAGGGCAAGAGAGAGAGTGTGTGTCTGTGAAAGGAAAGAGAAAGAGATAAGAGGAGAAATCGTTGGGGGGACGAAGACGATAAGGAGAAGGAGGAGCAAAAGAAAAGGATCTCGCACCCCCACACCCCTCTGTTACCCATCGCACCGTTAGAAGGCAGAGTGTGGGAGTGTGAGCGCGATTAAGAGGCACTTAAGGTATAAGGTGCGTGGACCTCCAAAGCAGAGGGAAAAAAAAAGGTGAGCAAGCACGTCCACAACAACAAGAAAATAACAAAAAAAAAAGAAACTAACAACAACAACAGCATGCTGCGCGTGTTCTCTGGAAGCTGTCTCTCTCTAGAAGATATGGAGACCGTCCGCCGTCCTAATTTAGTAAAGCAGCCTCACGTATTGGGCCCTGGCGTTGACTTCTTCACTGAAGACGGCGAGCCTGTTCGCCCTCAGCCTTGTGTGCACACTCTGCAGAAGGTCTTCTCTGGAAGTGCTCTGGACCTCAACGCAATGAATGGCGATATCGTCTCAGAGGAGGAAACGCCGCAGTCCACCAGCTCGCGCCACAATAACCAACAACACCAGCAGCAGCAGCAGCAGCAGCAGCAGGTCTTGCCAGGGGCAACAGTGTCAACAATACTCAACCAACTTTCGTCTGAAACCGAGAAGGAGCGTGCTAAGAGTGCCAAAAATAAGACGAATGTGCTTGTTGTTGGAGGCATTGGCTACATATCCAGCCATGTTGTGACCAAGCTCCTCGACGCCGGTTACACCGTTCGGGCAACAGTCCCCAATACTTTAAGTCAGCAGCAACAAACAGACCTCTACTCCATGAACCGCGATCCCGAGCAGCGCCTGAGTGTGTTCGAGGCGGATATGACAAACTCAGCAAGCTTGCGCGACGCTCTGCGGGGATGCAAATACGTCATACACTGCGGCTGCGCCGGAACCCCAGGAGACAAGGACCCCGTCACATTGCATGTAAGTGCTGTTCAGGCACTATTCGACGCTATACGTTTGGTTGGAAAGTCAACCGTTAAGCGGGTAGTCATAACTGGTGCAGCGTCCTCCGTGTTCCACATCACCGACCCGGATCCCCCGTCGGGATCTTTTGATGAGTCCTGCTGGAACACAGTCGCCACGGCGACGACTGACCTCATTCCGTACGCGCGCATCTGTTTTGAAAAAGAGGCGTGGCGGCTAAAGCATATGCTCGGTGTGGAGTTGGTGGTGGTTTTGCCATCCATCACGATTGGGCCCAGTCACACGGAGGAAATTAGCGATGCCATGATGCGAATACAGGAGTTGGCCAACGCCTCCTCGAGCTTCCCGTATGCACCCAATGTGTATTGGAACTTCGTAGATGTACGCGATGTGGCTGAGGCGCATGTGCGAGCTCTGGAGTCTCAGGAGGTAAGGGACCAGCGCGTCATAGTGTCAAACGGGTGCTTTAGTTACGCTGAGCTTGCGAAGATGATCAAAGAGGCGTACCCGCACCTCACGCCACCTACACGCACCGCCAACACCTTGATGACGCTCCTCCTCGGTGCCACGCAGGCGCAGGTGAAGTTGCAATTCCTGTGGCGTACCGTGGGCGTCCGGAAGCACCTAGATACGCACAGAGCGGTGACAGGGCTTGATATGAACTTCATACCAATGCGGGATACGATACGCGCCTGCATCGCGCAGTTCATTTGTGCCGGCGAGGTGCCCTCAGCAAACGCGCCACGGGCGATGGGCAGTCGCACTCGGCTCGTCGTAATCTCCACTGTCTGCGCCGGGTTCGGTGCAGCAGCCGTGGCAGCGTGGGTCGTAGCGCGGACCAGGTGGAGAAGGTAATGTCACAAAAAGGTGCGGGTCATTCCTGCCCATTAACCCTCTTTTTTTAGCTTATTCGCTTTTTCTTTTTTTTTTTTTGTTGGTTGATGAGTTTATTGTTGTTGTTGTTGTGGTGGTGGTGGTGGTATTTGTTTGTGTGAGTCACTCTCGTTTGTGTTGTCATCACCGAATGATGAGGGCACATTGATTGCGCTGTAGCGAAGGAAGATTGAGACACGAGCAGTGAAAAGGGATACCAAAGTAATAGAGAAGCAAACAGATGGGAGAGATTGTGTGTGTGTGTGTGGGAGAGAGAGGGGGGGGGGAACAAAACAATTGTTAGATGATGTATTTGCTAACGTAATACCTGATATAAGATGAAAATGGCAAGGTGGTGAGCCTACACAACAAAGAAGTCAAAGCGGCGAGTAACAAAGGGGTACCAAGAAAGCACGGCGGTATAGAACGAGAGAGACAGAAGGGGAGCAAGCCGAAGAATGGTCGCGGGTGCACAGAGAAGGAAAGGATATGAAGAGAGGCAAAATAGGTCATCAAGGAAACAGAAGGCTTAAGGGATGAAAAAAAAAAAAGGATGAGGTCAAAGAGGTGCTAAAGCATTTCGGGCAGTCAGGGAAGAGGGTCTGTATGTATGTCTGTGTGTGTGCAGAGAGGGGTAAGAAAGTGCTTTGTGGGGCGTTGGAAGGGGGAAGAGGAGATCTTGGTTAGGCATGCTTCTGCAACAGCAGCGAATCTGGCGGGAGAAGGTTGAATTTTTGTGTTCTTCTTTCCCACACACCAGTTTTCCCTTTCATGATCATTCTCATCTCTCTCTCTCTCTCGATATCTGAGGATGCGACATTTATCATTCTTTTTTGCGTCACACACGGGGGATTGTTTCTCAAAGGCTCTCGCAGTGTGTGGGTGGCAGGAGTATACGTTTATTTATCAGTGTGTATATGAAGATATACTCACTTATTTATATAGACATGTCTCCAGATAGATATATGCAATTTCACGTATTATCTCCCGTTATGCAAACCCCTCTCTGTCGCCGTCTCTCGTACACTTCCTGGCGCTCCCTCTCAACGCTGTCCGTGTGTTGTACAGCATGATATGTTAACACTAATGATAATGATCACGGTGACGTGAGTGCAACACGGCAGGTAGGAAGTATAAAACGCAAAGTTGAAGTATTGACCGAAAGCACTGGAGGAAAAAAAAAAAGAAGAGATGAAAGACGCATGCGTTGAGGAAGGGAGGGGAAGTCGTTATTTAGATTTGTCGTACTCTTCCCAAGCAAGTTCCGTTAATACGCTTGCACCACTATGGTGTTCTTCTTGTTGTTATTAAAAAAAAAAATTTTTCTACTGCACTCTTCCGAGCCGGCTGGGGTCTGTGTCTGTGCGCGTCCCTTTGCAACTTCGTGGCAAATCCCTTTTTGAGGAATGCAAACTTTAGAACGATACATGTCTTCTTCTGTTTTTTTTTTTTGTTTTTGGTCTGCTGGTTGCTTTGAATTGCCGTTCTGAGGCAAGCTCGCCGTTGTGGTTGTGTGTGGGTAGGGCAGCGATGTGGGGTGGCGTGAAGGTCCGCGCGCAGCACGGCGACATCTTCCGCGCGTGGAGCGCCAGCCAGGGACTTGAGAAGTTGAGGCGCCAGCTGTACCGCGAGCCGCGGCCGTGGTACCTGGCGTGGTCGCTGCACCATCACCGGCACCTGCTTAGTGACTACCACTGTGCCCGCCTGCTATCGTGGTGCACAACCGTCATGTGCCTTGAGAGGCGGCCGCCGGCGAGGCAGCAGGCGTACCTGTACGCGCAGCAGGTGTTTCAGGTCATGGTGCACAGCCACAAGGTGGGAACGGAGACATACCAGGAGTTCTTCCGTCTGTGCGCCACCGGTCGTGACTTGACTACAGCGTTCCGCTGGCAGCAGTATTTGGTGGAGACGGATCAAACATTTCCGCTCTCGCACTACACGTGGCTGCTCCACATTGCGGCGCTGTCACCCAATGACGAGAGTGCCGAGGACATGGCGGAAGCAGTATGGGAGACGTACATGGCTCGGTACTGCTCAGTGGTGAAGCACGACCTGACCGGCAACACTGCCATGGNGCATCATCAACCGTCCACGGAGGAGGAAGCACGGCAATTAGCAGGGATGTTCCGTGCCTTCAAGATACTCCGACCACGAATAGCGGATGGCGCCAAGTCGCAACTCCTGCAGTTTATTGACAGCCTCCCTGACGACGAGACTATGCACTCCGCGTGCGGCGGCTGGCCAACAATCAGTCAACATCATACGTTTCCGCACTTGGAATCTGCCATGACATGGGCACCGCCCACTCTGTCCAGTCCTCGGCTTCGCGACTCCATTCTCCACGAGGGTCTCGTCGCTGATTTGGAAGAAGCCACATTTGCACACAACGTGCAGCGTGTTGTGGCGATTGTGGAAGAGTACCGACAGCGTATCTCGGCAGAAAAGAGTGGTGAGAGTGCGACGAGGCACCGAGCGGGTGAACGGGACATTTGGCGCAGCTACGCCGACCCCTCTGTTCTTGCTTTTAGGAAGGAGCTTGTTGAAGATGGTGGAGTTACGTCGGAGCTGTACCACTACCTAATCGTGGCGCTTTCTCTGACGCAGCCCTCTACGGCGCTTCGGACAGTCCGCCGTATGGAGGAGGCGAATCTGCGCGTTCTTGATTTGACACGGGCTGTGATGATTGTGCGTTGTGAAGGGTCATCGGGCGAGCAGATGACGCTTTTGCAAGAGCAACTGCGAGAGATTGAGGAGCGGCAAAAAATTGACGTGGACTACGGTATAACGAGGGAGGTTGAGCTCTTCTGGAAATTCCAATATGCTGATTTTTTCCACTATCGCAATGCACTGAACCAGGTGGATTTGTTCCGTATACTCATGGAGGGTTTGGGGCCCGTCCGGGTACAACAGCTGCTGCTGGACGCACAACACCACGGCACATGCTCGTTGGTGGACGTCACAGTATTGAACGACTCCTTCCGCACGGCTGCCGCACATCACTACAGGTGTGTCCTTGGTGAAAAAGAAGTAAACAGAGCACTAGATGACATTACCAAACACATGCCCAAGCTTGACATTAGCTTAGTCGGATCGCTTCAGCATTTTGGTGACTACGCGCTGCCTGCCGAAGAGTTTGTGTCCACAGACATTTCTTCACTGTGCAAGAAATTAGTGGGGTACGGTACCATCTTTGTCCTAGACTCTTCGTTTGTGGAGACAAGTGAGCAATTCCTCAAACTGGGAAAGTCCAATAGCGACACCAGTGGAATCCGTTCCTTGGTTCTGGTGCCATACTGTTGTCTTAAACAGCTGGCGTCCACGATTGAACAGGGCAAAGATATCGTTTCATTTGATACGGCGCTACGCGAGGCGAATCAAGCAGAATCCTTTATAGCATCGCAGCGTCTACGTAGTCTCTTCGCATTTGTTACTGCTGAGAACAAGAGCACCAAGGCGAGGGTCCTCCACTTCAGTGAGTGTCTTCTTGCCCACACATTAGCTGCTGCAGCTGTCGGCGCTGCAGGTATTGATCCTGGTCAATCAGATAACGATCACCTGCTGTTGGTTCTTGCGATGATACGTGCGGTGGCGCCGAGGGAGTCTAATGTTGTACTGTGCACTGATGATACATCTCTTGTGAGGCGACTCCGCGATGGCGAACTTGCCTCAATCTTTGCTGGGGAGATACACGTCATGTCGTCCGAGCCACCACAGGGGATCGTGGAAAAAGAAGAAGCTCTCATCAACGACAACCCTGATTTCTGTGTGTCAGTAGACTTCCAGCCGAAACTAGACGCTTCCATACCTACGCAGAGGCATACGCCAGGGAAAGCCGCGTCGGTGCTGGATTCGGCTTTGACGCCAACAATGAGCACTGCATGGTTGGATATGCTGAACGAAGAGGAGCAGACGGAAGTCCCATTGGTGGCAGTAAACACGACACCAACACAGAGTGAAACAAAAGATGAAGAGGCGAAACTTGAACACGAGAAGCTCATGAACATGTACGAATCTGAGCACGCTGTGGCGCCTGTTGGTGTTCTGATGTCGGAGGCATCATCTCTAGGGTCGGTGTTTGAACAGTTTGATACTTTGGGGCCCGATGCCGAGATGGACCGAGACATGTCAGCAGCTGCAGCGCCACAACAGGAGCCAGGTCGGCGGAAGGACAGGCCGCGCAAATGGTCCCTGCTGGAGGTTGAGGCTGTGAAAAATCGTGGGGCATCCAATAAGCAACGTTTTCACCTCGCGAGGCGACTGAGCAATGCCTCGGGAGGACGTGTTCCGTTTAATTTCCGCTACAGGGTGCTCGAGGTGGATATAAGGGATAGGCGAAATAAGTTTTTCAAGGACGCCTACACCGAGGGGGTGGCGAAGAAGCGCGAGAATTTCAAGCGAAAATTTGAGGCTTCTCACCTTGTTGGGAGCTTGCAGCCGTGAGGACTGCCTATCTCACTCTACGAATCGGTCTATCTGTTCTGTGTATGCTTCGGTGGATTCTATCTTCTACCTCGCCCCCGGTGGGGTGGGGGAGGGACATTCTACGTCTTCGATATGTAGCGTTTCGTCTTTTTCATCAATCTTTATTCGCCCGGTAGGTTGTTTTAACACATAAACTTTGTGCTTTGTTTCTCTCTTATTGTTTCTATTTTGCTCCTCTAGAGCGATGGATGCCACGAAATCTGCATGCTCCGCGGCTCCTAAACCCTCTACGTTTGACTACTTCACGGAGCGATACTACCACCAGTACATTGTGCAGAATTGCAAAGGCGTGGAAGGCAACAACTGCAGACTGTTAGTGCATAGTAATGGTCTTTGTGTGCTGTGCCTCGACGAGTCACACGCAGCCGTCCGCGCGTTTAAGCAGACTGACATCATACAACACTCCGACGATGGAGCGAAACTTGGTGTGTCCTCCGTGGTATTTGGCTCCGGTCGGGGCAATTCTAGGATGGCGCCGGGAGCTATCCAGGTAGTGGGCAAACGCAAGAAAAATGCAATTATATGCCAGGAAGACACAAAGGTGTGTATTATCACTATGACAGACGGGACTGTGTACAGCATCCCCGCGTGCATTGACGGCTTTGTATTGGAGCTGAACCCAGCGATAATGGAGCGACCCGAACTCATCGTACAGGCTCCCACAGTCGAAGGATATATTGCAGTTATATCTCCAAACTATAATAAGCTAAAATTGGGCAAGTACACAAAGGTCGCCGCGGCCACTGGAGGTGACATTATGGATGATGACGATGATATGGGAAAAGGTACATTAAACTAAGCACAACACTTACATGAATGGTTACGTGTATTTTTTAAAATGCTCCAGGGATTATCCCTGGGTAACAGCAAACTGCAAGGAACCCACGTGCTATTTTTCTCATTTCTACATAGTGCATCATCATAAGCCGAAACGGGCTAAACAAGAGGTGTGGCTTCAACTTGGGCATGAACGAGGTCCAGCTGAGAGCTGCGGAGAGTTATAAGGGGCTCCTTGAGGCGTACTCCACCAGTGAAGAATCTCTAGTTTCTTCCAGAAGCAAAATTCGAGCGCTGAATGAGCACTATGAAGGGAGCGATCTGCAGAAGTCCCTGGGGGTGCTGGAGAGCACAATGAACGCTTCCATCAACACGGATGTGTATGTGGGCACGGTGTGCACTCGCGTAGACGATGCCGTAATGGACGTGCTGGCGGAGCGGGTCATGCTCCCTATTGGCGCCGACGTGGCGCACTCACTCTACGCGAAGCTGGACCCGTCGCTGGTCGGTGTGGAGAGGCGGGGCGACGTCCTGGACCCAAGTCTGCGCATGTCACACGAAGCCGCAGCCGATGTGTTGCGCATTGGTGGCCCGCTCGCATCCTTTGACTTCCCGGAGGAGGTGCGGCGAGTCCACGAGCACCTGTGCCCCTCCGCCATGTCCATTCGCGTTCAGCTTTACAAGCTCGTTATCTACGGGGAGGGCGACTTCTTCGTGCCGCATCGCGACTCCATGTCGTCGGCCGACATGCTTGGCTCTATATCCTTGCAGCTTCCAGTTGCTCATGATACAGACACCGTTGCCACAGAGGCGGACAGAGAGGCGCGTGGCGTGAAGCGGCATGGGCAGCTTGTGTTTTACGTTGGCCGGAACTCTACCGAAGCCGGCGAGAATAGTATTTCAACAACGTCATTGTATAGCGGCTGCTATGATGAGCAGGAGCAGTTTGCGCAAACGGTGGACCTTGGTGCGCTTAGTTCGGCCGTTGCGGAGGACGGCACCATCACCATGTCGTACGCCGCGTGGACGGGAGACGTGCTTCATGAGGTGCGGCGCGTGGAGAATGGGTATCGGGCGGTTCTGCTGTACCGGCTGTACAAACAGGGACACAAGGTGTCGTATATCTCTGCCAGCCTCCGCACCACCGTGACGCAGGGGATTGCGCGAGTGATGAGTGCCATGGCGCTAGGAAGCACGAAGGGTAGTGGCGATGGCGATGACGAATCTGATTTCCGCTACCTCGGAGTGGTGCTGCGCCACGCCTACCCGCCGGCAGGGCTACAACCGGAGTTCCTCAAAGGTGTTGACGCGGTGATGCACAACATTGCCTCCATGACTAACCAGTGCCTGCTCTTCAACGCATATGAGATGCGCGAGGGCACCTTCGGATCCCGTCACCTGCGGTGTAAGGAGGCCGTTGCTCGCATGGTGTTCCTCACCACAGACGCTACGCCCTCAGGGATAAACTTTTCTGATGAGGACGCGTTGGAGGCGATGGGGAGTCAGTACAAGTTGTTCGCCAAGACGGCGTGGGTTGTACTGGGGCTGGGAACTCTAGTTGGTGGTGGGTTCTGCTTTGGCAATGCGGACTGTGGCACGGATTGGTGGTACCGCGCCGCCGTCATGATTGTCACACCAGAGCCGAGTCTCTGGAAGCGGCGGCGCGGTCTGTTCCTTGTCACTTCCAAGGGCCCGGAATGTATGCGGGGGTTGCTGTCGAACCTGGACGTGATGGAGCGGATCGCCTCTTTTCTGTGATGCAGAGAGTAGCGTATGGCGGTGCTAAAGGGGAAAAGCGTGTGGGTGTTTATAAGACGTCATTTGCATTCTTTCAGCTCTTCTTTTTATTGTCCAATAGTGGAGGGCAGACGCTTAGCTGAGAAATCGAGGTGCTGTGATATGCAAACGGATTGAGGGATTTCAAGGGATGACTTCTTCTTTATCTGCACTTGAGGCCCTGTGCGTTGGAACTCCTCGTCTGGGGGAGTGCTCTTGATTTTATTCTTCCCATTTGGCTTTGGTGTAGCTTTTCTATGTACGAGGAAGTTGAAATGGCGCCGGTGTACCTGTCTGTAAATAGTAGCAGCAGTGAAGCTGATGTAGCGTTGCGACTGCCGATTCCTCCAACAAAGCGCCATGGTTTGACACGTGTTGTGAGGGGGTGGTTTAATATGGAGGTGGCGAGTGTAGACGAACCGCGGACTATCGCGCTGGGCTGTGACACAACAGCGTGGTCAGGACAGGGCTTTCCTGACAATGCCGTCAACAACCGGCGGTACTCTGTTGTGTCGTTTCTTCCCCTCGCGCTTTTCCACCAGTTTAGGGCGTTCTTTAACATTTTTTATCTCTTTCTCGCCATGTCTCAGCTAATCCCTGATCTTAAGGTGGGGTTTCTTTTTACGTACTTTTCGCCGTTAGCGCTCGTAGTTTCTCTCTCGCTCATTAAGGACGCTGTGGACGATATTCAACGCTACAGACGCGACAGAATAGCGAACGAAACAAAAGTTGAGAGGCTGCTTTCAAGTGGTGAAACAGGTGTTGTGCGCGCGTCATCTATTCAGGTTGGTGATTTGTTGTTGCTGCACCACGGTCAGCGCATTCCGGCGGACTGTGTATTGCTGCGTACGTCAGAGAAGAGTGGGACATGTTTTGTAAGGACAGATCAACTAGATGGTGAGACTGACTGGAAACTGCGGTATGCATTAAAGGCCACACAGACGCTTAGTGATGAAGCCATTGCTCAGTTTCGAGCGAATATCCGTTGTGAACCTCTTCACAAAGACATATACAAGTTTGTAGGAGCGATGGATGTCTCCGGTGGGGAGCCCGAGGCAATTTCTCTTGAGAACACACTATGGGCAGGCTGTGTTGTGGCATCTGGCTCACTTGTAGCCGCGGTGCTGCATACAGGCGTTGACACTCGTAGCGCTATGAACTCTAGCAAGCCTTCCACCAAGATGGGCTTCATCGAACGTGAACTGAACTTCATTGGGGTGCTATGTTTTTTATTTCTCGTGGTTATCTCATTTCTACTTGTTGTTTTGCAGCAGTTTGAGGGAGAGTGGTTTGTGATGTTTCTCCGCTTCCTCATTCTCATGTCTGCCATTATTCCTATTTCTATGCGTGTGAATGTGGATGTGGGTCGCATGTGGTACTCGTATGAAATCTACCGTGATGGTAAAATGCCTGGGACGGTGGCACGAAACACAAATATCCCGGAGGAACTGGGTCGGCTGGAGTACTTTTTCACTGACAAAACTGGGACACTGACGAAGAATAAGATGGAGTTTCGCGTACTTCAAGTTGGCGCCGATACTGTGTTGAACTATCATGAAGTTGATCGATTCCGAAGGATTATAGCCGCATTTTTTAACGAGACGTATAATATGGGTAGTGGCAGCGCAGTGGAGAGCGGCAAACAATCTACTGTTGTGTCTCAAAGGAACTTGGTACGTGATATTGCATCTGTTGGTGAAGCCTTGCTTGCTCTTGTGTTGTGTCACAATGTGAGTCCGGTAATGGAGGATGGTCATTTGGAGTATCAAGCCTCTTCACCAGATGAAGTAGCCTTTGTGAAGTTTTGTAGTTCCCTTGGCATTTCTCTCGTTCACCGAGACGTGAATTGCATGCAGATCACCACCCCGGGCGGCAGAAGAGTGCATTACGACATTGTAAAGTCATTTCCCTTCACCTCGGAACGGAAGTGTATGGGAATCATTCTCCGTGAGAAGACAGAGACAGGAGAGGGTGGCTACAAGTATCTCATGAAGGGGGCCGACTTTAAAATCGCCACCGTTGTTCGCCCCTCTGATTGGCTGCAGGAGAGCTGCCAAGAGTTCGCGCAGGTGGGACTTCGAACATTGGTGCTCGCACAGCGATTACTCACTGAGGAACAGTTAAGTGCGTTTTTGGCACGATACGATGAGGCGAATGCGGACCTCAGCGATACGCGCGGCGAGTCGCTGGACTCGGCGATGCGCCTTATCGAGCGGGATATGAGACTAATCGGTGTCACTGGCGTAGAGGACGAACTCCAGGACGACGTCACGACGTCGCTCGAGACATTGGGAATGGGTGGCATAAAGGTGTGGATATTGACCGGGGACAAGGTGGAAACGGCCACAACGATTGGCCGCTCAACACGCCTCATTCCACGGCATGCCGCGGTGGAAGTGATGACATGCCGTACGATGGAGGAGGCACAGCAGCAACTAGACAAACTGAATGGACGCTACGCCACGCAACCAAACGGCACGTTCCTCAGCACGCCATGGACACTTATTTTAGATGGTGGGGCACTTTCCTTGTGTCTAATGGAACCCGTGTCCAAGAGCTTCGTGGAGGTGTCGCGGTTGGCGTATTCCGTAATCGTGGCACGCTGCTCGCCCACGCAAAAGGCAGCCGTTATCCGCACCATGCGCAAGTACTCCGCGAAGAAGGTGCGAATGGCTGCGATAGGGGACGGCGGAAATGACGTTTCGATGATACTTGCCGCAGATGTCGGGATCGGCGTTGAGGGGGTCGAGGGGAAGCAGGCCAGCATGGCCGCGGACTTCTCCATCACGAAGTTCTCTCACAGTGTGCGACTAATTATGTGGCACGGACGCAACTCGTACCGCCGCACCTGTCGCATGAGCCAATTCATTATGCACCGCGGTATGGTGTATTCCGTGGTGCAGGCGTTTTTCTCGCTCCTCTTCGCAGGCACCACCATGTCTGTCTTCAACGGCTATCTTCTTATGGGGTACACAACTGTTTTCACTATGGCCCCAGTTTTTGCATTGGTGCTCGATGAAGACATCAAAGAGGAAGACATCAGTGAGTTTCCACAGCTGTACAAGGAGCTACTTAAGTCGCGTTCGATGAATACGCGCTCATTCCTGCAGTGGGCATGGATTTCTGTCTTCCAGGGAGGAATCATGATGTACCTATCACTCCATCTGTTTAATGAGGAGATGTTCCAGATCATGGCAATCGCGTACACGTCCTTGATACTGACAGAACTTGTCATCGTCGCCTGTACGGCGCACCTTCGAATTCTCTGGAGCCAGCGCCGTCTGCATCTGTTTCTTTTCATCGCCGCCGAGTGTTTCTCCATTGCCGCATACTTCTTGGCTGTTGTGGTCCTCCCAGAGACCATTGATCAGGGCTTCTTTTTTTCGTGGGGTTGTTGGTGGCGAGTTACAGTTATCTCGCTAGCAAGTATCGTTCCTATCTTTGTCATGTGGCTTCTAAGCACCTACATTGTGTTTAACAAGAAACTTGCATACATATCGCTCTGACGCGACGGACATTATTTCTGTCTGGTGCTATTCAAGGCATTTGCATCACTCCCCCAGAAAAGGGAACGCCCATACCATTTACAGTCCCTGCTACAACTCACCCCTTTACGGGCAGGCTACATGCTACTCCCGCTGTACACGAAACAAAAAAAACATCAGGTGCTCACATGATGAGCCATGGATGCATCTGTCCTTTTTCTCATTTCTACATAGTGCATCATCATAAGCCGAAACGGGCTAAACAAGAGGTGTGGCTTCAACTTGGGCATGAACGAGGTCCAGCTGAGAGCTGCGGAGAGTTATAAGGGGCTCCTTGAGGCGTACTCCACCAGTGAAGAATCTCTAGTTTCTTCCAGAAGCAAAATTCGAGCGCTGAATGAGCACTATGAAGGGAGCGATCTGCAGAAGTCCCTGGGGGTGCTGGAGAGCACAATGAACGCTTCCATCAACACGGATGTGTATGTGGGCACGGTGTGCACTCGCGTAGACGATGCCGTAATGGACGTG